GGGGGGGGTCCAGACCCGGAGTCCACCCCCCTGGTTGCGCCACTGGTATGTGCACTTCAGTGAGCTGGCTCCGACACCGATAGACGTTGTGTACAACCATAATTACACAGTTGGCGCTGTGATTGAACAACCGGCGAATTTAGGATTTTAGGTTATACGTTTTCGTGTTTTTATAATCTAAGAAAACCACTTTCACCCTACAAAAACATATTTAATAATTTTCTCGAATTCCAGGGAAGGTTTTGAACCCCCCCTTCCACCCGTGTACCGTTTGTCATCACTCGGCGACCAACAACAGGTTAACAACGCCGTTAAGTACTAATGAGTTGTTGCACAGCCGGTGCAGATCACGGACGACGAGCGTTATTGTATTACCGGCGCTCGGGGCGGACAGCAAAACGTTTCGGAAAACAGAATTCGGACGGTGCGCAACGTAACGCGTGAATATAGCACTGCCTCGAATGCGCTAGTGATAATCGGCCGGTGTGATTGTGTCCCGCGCCGCCGACGGCCAATAATAACAATAACAACAACAATACACACCATAACAGGTACATTTTACATTGTAATACGGACGTAAATCGACAATACACTGATTGATACTGGATACTCCTTCGTACGGAACAATTCGCGCGTCCACACAAAGAGTTCGTCCGGTAACATTATTACTATTATTACTACTATTACTATTATTACTAATACTACTACTATTATTATCATTATTATTATTATTATTATTATTAATTTATTGTTTTTTAGTGTGCGCGGTCTATTATTCCATGACCCGCTCAGGGCTAATCGGTTCATAATAACCCTCTAACTTTTTCCAGCGTTTCATGACTGTTTTTCTCGACGGACACGCGAAAGGAAAAAAGAAATTATGTACAAACGAAATTGTTTTGTGACGCTGACCGCGATGTACGTCGCGTCGATGATGGTCACCGCTGAGTCGCCGACTGGTGTGTACGTAGATACTGGCATCCAGACTGTTAAGCAAGATATAATGTCTATCGAAGAACGGAACGAGGTCGAACAGGAAATATTGACCATGTTTGGTGTGCCTAAAAAACCGAGGAAGGCTCCGAAGAATTTAAATGGTTCAGCTCCTCAGTTTTTGTTTGATGTCTATAAATCTCTACAGGAAGGGTCACGCGACAGAAAAACAAGAAGTGTTTCTGATGTTGGACTATATGATGATCGAACTGTACAAGACAGTGATGTTATTGTTACGTTATACTTATCAAATCATTGTAAGTATTGATAAATGCTCATTTTTAATGAAGATTATTTAAAAAAATCTTCCAATAGGTATAAACTATTTTTATTACTAAAGTTTTTTTCAAAAAAATAAATTTTACATATTATAATATGCTTCATTACCAAATTTTAAACTATAAGTTAACAAATTTTTATCTAAATATAGTTTTTCATATTTTTTATAAGGTAAATCCAAATAGGTATTTTAATATTTTTACATTAAAATGAAATAGTATTTATGTACTTTATGAGTACTGATTCTAATATGCAGGGTGTTTTAATAAACTAACTTTGTTATAGTTCTATATTGGTCGTTGAATTTATTTTTAGCTCCAATAAGTAATGTACGCCATGAACATGGAAAACAAATTTTATTTGAATTAAATGATGTAGCTTCTAAAGAAACTCATATGATTACTTCAGCTGAAGTTCATTTATATCAATCTGGTAATTCAAATAGTATCAAAAAGTATTCAGTAACTTTATATCAAGTTTTAATAACTGATAGTGGGTAAGTAAATTATAATTTCAACATAAACTACAATAACAATTTGATGTAATAATTAATTACTAAATTTTAATCATAGGGAAAAAGAATTAGAATTTGTAGCTACTCAAAATACTACAACAGATTATGATGGAT